GGCAGGTGTGTGGTGACCTCTGAAACTTAGCATGAAGACTTCTAAGCCATGGAGATGCTCTGCCCCATGATGCTCATTTGGTCCCTGACCTCCCTGTCCCCACAGGCCATATACAAACAGTTTGATGTTGACCATTCAGGAACCATTGGCAGCAGTGAACTTCCAGGGGCCTTTGAGGCAGCAGGTATTGCTGGTGGGGACATGGTGGGGATGGGAGTAGGATTGGTGAGACAGCCCCACTGAGCTGGTCTGAGTCTGAATCTGGGACTGGGAGTGGGTTGGGCTTCATGGCCCCCACACCTGAGAGACTAAATCATTGTCAGGGTTCCATCTAAATGAGCATCTCTACAACATGATCATCCGACGCTACTCAGATGAGGAAGGGAACATGGATTTTGACAACTTCATCAGCTGCCTGGTCAGGCTGGATGCCATGTTCCGTGAGTGACACTGCAGCTCTCTTTGGAGCAGGGGTGGATTTTATTTGTTCAACATCCAAGAGATTACCCAAGGTCTTTGAGACTAACCCTGAGGTGGGCAATGGTAGGGGCACTGCAGTGACCAAAACAGCCCCAGATCCTGCCCTCACATCACTCACAGTCCAGTGGAGGAAAGGCAAATCATCAGTGATAGCTCAATGGTTGCTTCTAGGCTAGAGGAGGTTCAGGGTAGAGTGATGGGGGCTCTGAGGGGAAGCTCAGGGCAGAGTGCATTTAGATTTGTGATTGTGGAATCTCTGAGGGCTTCAAACTAAGAGGCAGCCTGAAGGGTCAAGGAGGGCTTCCTGGAGGAAGGCACATGTGAGCTGAGACTTTAGGGGTGAGGAGGAGTGATCCCGTGAGAGAGTGGGGATGAGTGTTGCAGTGGAAACAGCCTGTGTGAAGGCCAAAAAGGAAAGAGAGGATGGTAGTTTTGCTGTTTTTTGTTGGACTCAGTTCAGCATGCTGAAGAGGGGTGGGATGGTGAGACAAAAGGCTGTGAGGAGGGGACAACAGGGACTGTATCATAAAGGTTCTTTTGAACATTAATGCACTGAATCTTTAAGATCACCCTGAGAATTGGGAATTATTGTACCCATTTTATGGAGAAGGAGCCTAGGGTTCAAGGAGACAAAATAGCTTGCTCACAGCCACTCAGCAAGGAAATTAATTCCAAAGCCAGAATTGAACTCCGACCTGTTTGAGAGAGTTGAGTGAAAGGAAGCAAGAACAATAGGCATGTAGGGCTGTGAATGCCAATTTTTAGGGGTGCTCAGAGAGTGGGGCAATGGAGAGCTACAGTAGGTTCTAGGCAGGGGAGGGATGGTCAAATTTGGCTTTGATCCCTTGGCCTCCCAAGAGACTAGGGAGGACCATACATTAAGAGCATGGGTAGAGGAAAAGGGACAGGTATGCTAGGGCTATGAAGGGAAGGCAGGAGTGGACAATAGGGCAGATGATGCCAAAAGTCACGTGTGAGAAGGCCCAACAAATGTCCACTGGAAGGGGGTCAACAGTTACTGCTGTGAGTGCAGCATCTAGGACACCAGGTAGTATGTGGACATCTGAGGGTGGTAACAATGTAGAATGAGAGAGAGGAAGCAAAGGCAGTGTGGGTACCTGTTTGTCCAGGTTTAGCTGTGGGTGGAGAACATGGAGGGGAGTTTCAGGGCAGGAGTGGGAAGCATGCCAGACGGTAAGGCAGGAAGTGAAGCCTGCAGAGTTTCTTTCCAATAGTCTGTTTAAGCTAGAACTGGAGAGCTCAGAAGTCAGTGGGAAGCTGGGACTTGGGCAGAGGGTGATGGTACATGGAGGCCATTATTGAGGTGGGTAACAGCCTGGGTTTCAATCCCAATTTCCTCACTTTCTCACTGCGTGACCTGGAACACATCACTTCTCTGTGCCAAATTTTAAAATGACACATCTCTCAGAATTGGATTAAATTAGTTAATATATGAAAAGCACTTTAAATTAGTTAATATATGAAAAGTGCTTGGCACAAGGTGCTAAACCCTTCATTAGCTACTATTATCATCATCCCATATATTAGTATATTTTTATCCTAAAAGCCCCCCCCCCCCCTTCCCCAACCCTTCTCTTCTCTAGGTGCTTTTAAATCTCTTGATAAAGATGGCACTGGACAAATTCAGGTGAACATCCAGGAGGTAAGAACTCCCATCCTGCCCTCCCTTTAGCTCTGAACTGGATTCCCTCCCTCCTATTTTCCCAACAGTCCCTGGGGAGGGCAGGGAAGGGCTCCTGGTATTCTAATCCCAGTTCTCCTCCTCACTCTCTGTGCCTTTCTCTCCCCAGTGGCTGCAGCTGACTATGTATTCCTGAATGGGAACCCCAGACCTCTCTCCTCATCACCTCACATTAGGTGTCACCTTGGACATTTTGGTCTCTCCCAGGGCTGATCCTGTCTGCAGTCATGTCTTTGTGGGTCCTGCTGACCCACCAGCTTTTCCATTTTCTGTTGGCAACTAGCTTCTCAAACAACAGCTAGGGCTCAACGTGTCCCAACATGCCACACCCCAAATTACATCTGGCTCTAGGACACTCTAACCCCCTGCCCCATGGGTCGCTCCACCCTCGGCGTACCCACTCCACAACCCTTCTCACGCATCTATGCTAAGTTGTGTCACTTCCACACCCCAAGGGCCCTTCTCTAAGTTCTGGGAGAATCACCTTAGGCACTATGCGCCCTGGCACACCAGTTCAGTTAACCACCCAGCCATCTGAACTCCAGGTCCTAACAGGCCACATACGCCCCAATGCCTTTGTATTCTGCCCCAGCCTGCTAGACCCAGGAGGAAATAAATGCACCCCAGTTGCTGCTCTAAGATCTGCCTCCTGTTCTGAGAGTCGAAGGGTGGCTTAGGCTCTGTCTGGGGCAGAGGGAGTCTTGGTCCTGGTGGTGGAGTGGGGGTGGTTTTGTGGGTCTTTGTGTCTATCCCAAAGGCTGGATCTGCATGTCTTTCTCACAGTGGATCCCAGTCGGGTTATATCCTCATTCTTGCTAAGATACTTGAGAGAGTCTGGAGTTGAGAGTGGGACACAGAGGCCTGGGTACTCCTGCTCCTGCTGGAAGAGCAGGGCTGGTGGGAAGTGTGTCACCCCTGATTCTGTCTCCCAAGGTCATGTTTGTCTGCTCTCATCTGTGCATGAGTGAGTTTGTTCTTCACTTGCCTCTTAACTATTTCACCATGACCACATTTAGCATCTTCCTTCCCACCCCCCAGAGCCTCTGAAGGGAGAGGAGGGCTGCTATACTAGGATACATATCCCTGTCCCACTCAAGGATACCACCCTCGGTCACCAAAGCCTGAGGGGCAGCCCAAGGGTACTGTTTGGAGTCCCCAACCCCCCTGGGAAGGCTGAGAGGCAGTGACATCCTAGGAACAGTCCCGGTCTAAAATGAGGGACTCAAGGCTTGGGCAATGGGCTGTCTATAGGACAGAGATTACTTGCTAATGGGAAGACGGAGTGAGGGGTGCACGTAGAGGCCAGGGCGGGGCTGGGTTCCCCAATAAGCCAGCACATTTATTGATGCTTGTTCAAGTCCTTCAGGTCCTGCAGGCTTCTTGGTCTCACTTCTGGTGGGGGAAGGAAGCCCAGCCAAGGCAATACAGACTGTAGACCGTGCCTGGGGAGGGAGTGTAGGGGATACAGAATGAGACCCTAATCGCTTCCTTAAACCCCATATTGGGTTTTTAAACCCACCTGCAGACTCACCAACCACCAGTCTGGATCCCAGCCCCAGTTCGTGATTCAAACTCCCTCCTCAAACTGCACTTCAGGTGGGGAATCCCTGGTCTTTGATCCAGACCAGGCCCTGAGCTTTCTACCCAGCTCCCGCCAGGGCCCCAGGGCCCCTCCTGGGACAGAAGCCCAAGTCCTAGGGAGCTCCCCCGTATCCCCTATATGCTGGCCTGGACGCCAGTACAGTCCCCAAACCTGGCCAGCCCAGAACCCAATCCCCTCCCTAAATTCCAGCCCGAGAACCAGCCCCCTTCCTCACTCCAGCTTGAGCCCGCCTCCTGCAGTCCAGTCCGAACAGGCCCTGTACTCACCTCCCAGACACAGTCCCATGGTCAATCGGTAGAGAATGTTGTCGGTTCCCCCGCCCTTCAAGTGCACCGGAAGGTCATTGTCCGCCTGATGTTGGGGGCGTCCAATAAGAAAAGGGTGCTGTTGTCGCGAAGACGGTCTCCCCCGCCTCCCTCTGGATCGAGCTTGCGGCCCCCGCCCTGCCTACCTGGAAGAGTTTCTGTTTCTCCGCCACTCGGTTCTCCAAGCGGTTCCGAGCTGTTGAGCTGAAGGAGCGAATCAACGCCTGGGAAGCCTGGGGGAAGGCGGTGGGTGGGATTAGAGGCACCTGGAGAGGCGTCTCGAAGTGGGTCCAGCGGGGGTTACAGGGGCGGCCCTGGGACTTGAAAGCTTTCCAAAGGCAAGATCAGAGTTACCAACACGAGTGGGGGAGGGTGGACTGTCAAGAAAGACCCCGAAGGGGACTAGCGCCTGGAGGGTCTGACTTGGAGGTTACGGTAACCTCACTGGTGGTCCGTGAGTCCGAAAGGTTGGCGACCGCTGGACGGTCCTGGAAGAGGAGCGGACCCAAAAGGGAGGCGCAGTCCCCTGAATTAATGGTAGAAGCCCAGGTCCCAGAAATATACCCTATGCAGTTTCCAGACAGCCTGAGAGGTCCCGGGAAGGGAAAGGTGTTAAATTCCCAGTGCCTGGGTCCCGAGGTGTTAGGAGCCCTGGACGAAGGGAAGGTCAAACCCGGGACTCTGGGCCATGTTAGTGTCCCCGGCTATCTGAGAAGCTCTTGGATTGGGAGGTGAGGGTGGGGGTCCCAGGCTGTTAGGCGGGAGACTCGAACCCTGAACGGGCTCACGTTCCAGTGCCCCAGATCCCCGGACGTTTAGAGTCTCGTATTGGGGTGAAGGCTTCCGGGATGGGGGGCCCGGCCCGTGGGGGCCCTCACCCGCATGGCCCTCATTCTGCGTCCTTCTCTGCGGCTGGAGTCACCTCCTCTCCGGCAAGGACACACAGTGGCCTCCCCTCTTGGTGCATCCCAGGCCACGCCCCAGCTACATCACAAGACAGGTCAGTCTCCGCCTCTGCAAAGTGGGGTGGAGCCGGAAAAAGCCTGCGGCCAGATTCGGATTCGCCCAATAGGCCCGCGGAAGAGACTTTCCAACGCCACCCCCGCGCCGAATGGTTGAGGCATCCATCTATTACTCATCTCGGAATATCTATTGGTCCAAGTGGGGAGGAAGGAAAGCGGTCCCAAGGAATATATGTTTTGGTTTGTTTCTGAGGAGGAATTGCGCCTGGGGCAAGTGCATTTTCTTCAAGTCTTCTCGGATCTTCTGATTGCTACTGCAGAGCGAGTGAGGTTGGGATGACACCCAACCAACTGAGCCACACCGGCCAGGGCTGGATGAATTTAAAATAAGGTTTGTGGATTAGATAACATTATACCAGTATTAATGTCCCTATTTTGATGATTGCATAATGTTTATGTAACAATGTTTTTAGTATTGGGGGTAAAAGGGTATCATATCTGTAACTTACTGTAAAATGATTATGATATATATCCATATTCTGTTCGATTCTACTTCTATCTGATTCTGATGTGCAGCCAGGGTTAAACCTAGTTTTATCAACCAGTAATAATCCTGGCCTCGTCTAACAATTCTCTTTTAAAGAGGGCTTTTATAACAATCAAATTCCCTTAACACTTTCAGCCCTGGCCGGGTAGCTCAGTTGGTTAGAGCATTGTCCCATTACACCAAGGTTGTGGGTTCCACTGCACATACAAGAATCAACTAATGAATGCTGTAGGGGAGCTAGAGATGTAATATGTCTCCAGCAGTAAAGGCGTGGGGGAAATGTTTAACTTTCTGTGACTGTAACTCTCTGTAGCCACAGGTTTGACCGACTATCCAGAAAGCCAGAATACCGCCCGAAGGTAAACATCACGCCCCAAGAAGGTTAATGAATGTATAGGGTGTGGATAACTGCCTGGTGTTATCTGTTAATTTAGACTTGCATTGTACTTTCTGGTGGCCTGCCACATGCTTTTAATATGAACCCTCTATAAAACAGAGACCCTGTCCTGGGATGGTGTGGATATATTACTGATGGCCACTGCTGGAAGCAAGCAGCTGCTTTGCCTGTTTATGTGTTTCTCCTATTAAGCTCTAATGAATTTGAATAAGGTTATATGTCAGTTCCTCGGAATCCATCCTGAATTTAGACTTTTGGGGCTTTCCCTCAACAAAAGCATAAATAAATGGAACAAAAAAGTGATGTTTATTTCTCACTCTCTCCTTTGCTTTCTCTCTGAAAGCAATCCATCAATAAAAATTAAAGAAAACAAAATCCCTTAACACTTTCAAACTATGCTTGTAAATTGAAAATGTTAGATTTTTTTCCGTTTATAAACTACTAAAGGCCCAGTGCACAGATTTGTGTGCCGACGGAGTACCCTGGCCTGGCCTGCACCCTCTCATAATCTGGGATCCCTTGGGGGATGTCAGAGAGCCAGTTTCAGCCCGATCCCTACAGGCCAGGCTGAGGGACCCCACCCGTGCACAAATCCATGCACCAGGCCTCTAGTATGCATATAAGATCTTTGGTTAATCTCTTCCCACCCTCAACCCTCACCCCTTCCCTCTGAAATTCATCAGCCTGTTCCATGTTTCCATGCCTGTGGTTTCTGCTCCTGCGTTGAGCATCTTCCCCCTGGTGGTCAGTGTGCATCATAGCTACCAGCCTGTTGGCTGGTCAGCCAGCTGCTTAGGCTTTTATATCTACACTAATAAAAGAGAAACATGCAAATTGGTGTCACTCCACTATGCCCACCAACCAATCAGGATGAGTATGCAAAGTAGCCCAACAAAGATGGTGGTTAATTTGCATATGCAGGCACGGAGCAAAGATTGAAGGCTCCGGCTGGAGTGAAGACTAAAGACTGAAGAGTCTTGGCTTCTCTGCTGTGGCTGCAGTGGAGAAGCCTAACCTTGAGGCTGGGCTTCTCCACTGTGGCTGGACCAAAGGCCTGGGTCCCGGATGCCGGAGGAAAACCGGTGCCGGCAGCCAGGGGAAAGAAGGCCTATTGCGCGTATGTAACGGGCTTCTAGTATTAGTATATAGATGGTAGGCTTGAAACTGGACAACCAATGGGTTGGGGCTGCCTGTCACTACTTGAGCCAATTATGCAGAGACAGGGTTGAATTATATGAGCATTTATTTCAATACTGCTGGCAGTATGGGACAGCAGCAAGTCATCCACAAAAATCTCTCCACCCCCACCCCCATAAGCCAGCTGCTTATATTGGGTAGGGCAAACATTACATGGGGAAGTAGGAATTATAGGCCTGGAGAAGGATGCAATGAAGGCTGGAGTGGGACACTATTGTTTGGGTGACAAAGTTGTCAATCTTCCCATGATATTAGGCAGTTCTTGAATGAGAATGGACCTCATTCCAAGGTTGACTGGCAGGTCCAAGGTTGACTCCTAGGTCCCAATGGTGTACAACTCCCAGCCAGGTTAGAATGTCCTTTCTTTAATAAGAACAAGGCAATCACTGTTAACAGAGCATGATTAATATTTCTTATATTATAGCTAGTCCCCAATGTTCTATTTTTGCCCCTAACATTTCCCCACTGCTATTTCTATCATCTCATATCTATGAGATTAGTTTTAGATGAAATATCTCATCCTGCTGGACTGCATTTGCTTCTGCCTTGAAAGCAGTTCACACATGGAACACAACGAATGCAGAATCAAAAAAGAGGAAGACATCGAATACAGCAGCAAGCAATTAGGCTACAAAAAATAAACAGGAGAAAATTTAAAAAGAATTCCTGCATCCCAGACAGGTTGGGTAGCCAGGAAGTTAATGTGGATAAGTCAAATCCAAAAAAAAAAAAAAAAAAAAGACCCACAAAAAACCCCCACACCCCTTCTGATTGTTTTATCTTGGAGATGGTTTCCCTAATTTGTTGAATGTTGTTTTCTATCAATTGAGAATTGTCAGAAAGATTAAAAGAGCACATTCCTTTAAATTCCTACAACCGTGGTTATGCCACAACAATAAATAATCTATTGCTGCCCGATTCTCTAGAACCACCTTCCTGACCTGGCTCAGCTCTTGATTTATCCCCTGTATAGCCATGGAAGTGGCATTCATGGCTTTTACCATGCCACAAGCCAGCCAGGTCACTTCTACATTAAGGGAGCCTACCATTACCAGCATAACAAAAATGGTTAAAGCAATATAGTCAGCAGGGCTCCACAGGTGGAGATCATCATTGTAGTCCAGTGCCACCGCCCTGAGAAGGTCTCTTTTGGTTCAGACCCTGTGATGTTTCTGAGGCATAAAAAGACAGTCACCCAAAGGAACAGGGCCCCCTGGGGCTGTTAGCATGGATATATGAATAAACAGTTACCCCACATATCAGAAACCACCCAGCCAGCAGCTTAGTATGTCCTTTACTATAATGGAAGGTGAAATTATCAGAACAATTCATATTATAGTTATTACACACTGAAAGACAATAACTAGAACTCAGTAAAAGTCTGACATTTGCCACAGGGAACTACTGCAGTAACCTTTATAGAAAACATCCCTGCATCCTTTTCCCAGACAGTGGGTCCCAACATATAAAGGTCCCCATATGTGGCTTCCCTAAATGAATGGAATGATTCCATATATTATCAATAGGTGTTCCAACTCCTACTTGGCAAAAATGTAAAGGTCCATTCTACAGAGGTTCCTCCATTGTCAGCTTTAGAGCACTTAAGAGTGGTGAGACACACATCTCAGGATCCTGTCCATTTCTCCTCCAGTTGGCCCATCATCCTTGCTCTGCTTATGTCTAACTGCCTACCACATTCCCCCACTCAAGGATGTTGGCTCTGAATTCTTTCAGAGAAAAGGGGCAGGGGTCTGATGTGTAACTGCTTCATGCTGAGGAGAGAGGAAGTTTTCCTTCAGAGGCAAGAGATCCTTGCTCTCTGTCAGAAGTGTGATGAGGATTGGGCATGGAAGGAGGGAGCAATGGTGTCTAGAGGTGGTATTCCCTGATACGAGTAGGACTTGTAACCTGTAGAGGCAAACTGTGTTATGAAATTTTGTATATTGGGGTAAAAGCTAGAGATAAATTCAGGACCCAGTTCAATTCATAGATGAAAAATAAAGCTTTGAGTCTAATATTCACAACTGTGTGTTATAAAGTCTACTGAAACACAATTTCTCTCCCCCCCCCCCAATAAAAATCACCCTTGTTTTTATTAAGGAGCCAAATTAAGACCAATTTGTTTACTGTATTGTTATGGTTTCAATTTGGCCTGATCATTTGTGTGAACACAATAAGAATAGTAATTGATCATATAGGCCTTTTTTAAAAAAAAAATTGCTTTGCTGAAATTTCATGATTGAACTTTAGCCCCTCAGGGCAAAGAGCTGAGCCACCAAGCTGCCCTCAGGTTTTCCTGCAATACCTGTAGACTTGGGTGAATTTCTCACGTTCTTGAGGTTCCCTAAATGTTTTAAGGTTCCTTCCTTGCCATCTCTCAGGAAAGCAACCTTGCTTCAATCCTTACCTGGAAAGACTGCCATGAAACACGTGATCAAGCAAGGTACCACACTTTTATCCAAGGGGCTCTTATTTGGCTTCATTCTTTAAAGCTTTCTGGTGACATCCAGAGTCCAGGCATGTTAGACACAACATGCCATAGTGTTGGTTAGTAAAACCACAATTGGAAACTGGTCTTACTGAATTCATGCAAAGAAACGTATTGCCAAGACGCATTCATTAAGAATTGCCAAATTCGCCCTATCCGGTTTGGCTCAATGGATAGAGCATCAGCCTGAGGACTGAAAGGTCCCGGGTTCAATTCTGGTCAAAGGCACATGCCCGGGCTGCAGGCTCGATCCCCAGTAGGGGGCGTGCAGGAGGCAGCCAATCAATGATTCTCTCTCATCATTCATGTTTCAATCTCTCTCTCCTTCTCCATTCCTCTCTCTGAAATCAATAAAAATATATATTTTTTAAAAATTGCCAAATTCTAGAGGAATAAGGTAGGGATAGAAACATAATTTACCAAATTGCTTTGAAAATGCTTCCTTATATTTAAAAAACAAAGATTAAAAATCAGCAATACTTTCAACAAAAGTCACAAAAACTATAATTATTTTTAGTTCATTTAGTCCCATAATCAATTTTTGTTTCCCCTGATTTGACTTGCCAGTACTTCTATAAATCCAGATAAATTTATAGGCTCCTGGAGATTTTTAAATTTTAGTTATATGCATATATAAGTAGAATATAGTTGTTAGTTCTTTATTTAATAAAGCTTCCAGCAGGCGTCGCTAGTGGTTGAGTGTTGACCTATGAACCAGGAGATTGCGGTTTGATTCCCGCTCAGGGCACATGTCCAGGTTGCAGGCTAGATCCCAGTGTGGGGTATGCAGAAGGCAGCCAATTGATGATTATCTCTCATCATTGATGTTTCTATCTCTGTCTCCCTCTCCCTTCATCTCTGAAATCAATAAAAATACTTAAAATAATACAAAACAAAACATAAAACAAACAAAACCAGCAACAACACTGTGACAAAAGGGTAATAAACACAAGCATAGGCTAGTAAAACTTCAGTTCCCAAAATTAAGAAGATCAATTTTTAAAAATATATTTTTTATTGTTGATTACAGATCTTTCCCATTCTCTCCCCACCCCCCCACCCCTGCCACCTTCCTCTAAACCCATAACCACCCACCCAGGTCTTCACTACCCTATTGCTTGTGTCCATGGGCTATGCATATAAGTATATATAAGTTCTTTGGTTTATCTCTTTGGGCCCAGAACCTACATTTATAACTGTTATGGTTTGAAGGATGATAATCCTAGTTAAAGGCTTTCTTTTTTCTTCTTTTGCACCTATGGACCCTTAATGGACCCAGTTTGGTGTTTTTTTCCCTCCAGTGTCTTACAGATATAATTCTGTAAAATTGGAGACTATAAAAACACCCAAATATCCACTGTT